ATAGTCTTTGCTAAAATAATGGATAATTCTGAAAGTAGAATCACATAACGAAATTCGGACTTTTTAGATTTTAACACTAAAGAATGAAAAAACTTCTCTGCGGTTTTTCGGCTTGATGCATTTGCTCACAGTCCCACTGTACTGCTCGAATCATTCTCTGTCGAACGATCTAGAATACATCTATTTCAACCCTTTTTCTAGCAAAATCCTGCCAAAAATTCTCTGTGGCAAAAACTGAAAATTGTCTCTCTCCTAACTCAGCCAGTATGAGTCTGGCAGTTGGGAAATTTTTAAAGGATACTCGGCAAAGACAGGGGAACAAAACGTACCGTTCAAATTTTTTAATGAACACTTTCATTTTTTTTTAGGGATTGTACCAGAAAGTTACGTTTCTCTCATGTTTTCTCTCATCTTTATTATACTTTCGAATGCTTTCTCTGATAACTTTCCGAGCATAATACCATTGCTGAACTCAATAGAATGGAACATCACACTATGAACAGTCATTTAATCCATTTCAATTCATTGCTGATAACAAGTGTTACATCCAGTGGTAATTCTTTCTAGGTTCTATTGTCAGTACCGAAATATAATACAGTCCGATGGTTTTTGAATAACTTTTGAACGAAAGACGATAGTGACTTGCGATTTTCAGATTCTGAAACTAGACACTTTAGGACTATAAAAAATCAGATGGATCGGATTGCATTATATTTTGGTACAGATAATATCCTGTCTAAAACGTACTCTCTGCCACATTATACAATCAGGCAACAAAGATTAGTCTTAGACATAATGAAACGATATCTTTAAGAATAAAGATCTGGGCTATTCAACCACGTAATTGGGGTTGAAGATTTATTTTCGCGTCAATACCTAACGACCTCTTCTTTTCTCATCCATCGAGCACACCAGCTCAAAATTGAAGTTTGAAAACTACTATCTTCGAAATATGCAGTACATATAAGTTATGGACACATCCGCCGATGAAAACAGCCATCAAACAACCAATAATAATGTGAATTGGATGAATTGAGTATTGAAGGACATTTAATAGATAATTAATTACACAATTTTGACAAAAATACCACACAATTGAAAAAAATCCCAAATTTACAAAGCTTTATTTTTTTCGCATTTCTTATAATTCTGTAGTTTTCTTGACTGAAGTTCTTCACACCAATAGGTGTAACATTTATTGAAACGCATTTCTATAATGAACTTTCTGCAGAAAAGGAATAGAGTTAGTGTAGATGTTTGCTCTATAAATGTGTTTTCTTGAAAATAAATATTATAAATAATCTATCTAAATTGAAAACTGAGTTTGCGTTTATAACTAGGGAACTGAATAACTCATTATAGTTTTTGATTGGTAGTTAGCGATTTGCTTCATCATTCATCTAAAAGAAATGATAACAAGGTCAATGTCATATAAAAGGGACAAACGAAAAAAACAACGCCGTGGTTTATTCTTTTTATCTAGTTTGCAGCTGCTATAGGTTATCGATTAATGGCATCTTTTTATGTAGGGGCAATACTACATACAAAGACGAATCGCATGGTGTTTAACCTTAGGATTTGAACTGAATAAACTCTGTACCCCTATTATGAAAGCACTAATGATTCACTGTGTTATTGTTATTGTTACCCCGCAGAGCCGTTTTGAAGAGAAAAAGAACTGAAAAATAATAAAATATGAATGAGTTTTCATGCATATTCTTAATCTGGACCACAGAAAAGTAAAATATATTTTTCGTGCGAACAAACAAACTATTTTTAGCATGTTTATTTTCGTCATTTGTGAAAAACATGGCAATTTAAAATTTCGTTTTTTTTTATCAAAATACAGTAGACCTCGTTCAATCGAAACTTACTTATGTTTTTAATATTCAGCTCTGCTAGTATTGCGATTATCGTAATACTTTTCCTTATCATTTACTTTACTCTGATTCACAAAGAATTACGAGTTTACAATGCTCTAAAATCTCAAAATATACCAGGTGAACCGTTCGTTCCTATCATGGGTCAACTACGTGAAATGCTCAAATATGCTAAAGCTGACAAGAGTATGCAGTATTATATTGATTTGCAATTGAAGCACGGTAATATTTTTCTCGTTACATTCGGACCTCACACACGTCTCATCATCATTGAACCGAATTTGATGGCAGATGTTCTCAAAAAATATACAAAATTCTACGTGAAACCTTCTTTATTCCGTACGGTATTCACATCGATGATGGGAGAACAAAATTTGATTTTAAGTGAAGGTTATGCTCACGACCGCGCACGGAAAATGCTGAATCCTGCGTTCAGTGTGATCAACTCGCAATCAATGGTATCGATTATGATCAAGCAAATAGCACTAGCTATTGAGAAATGGGAAAAAACGGAAAGCAATATTGACCTCCAACAAGAACTCAACTCTCTTTCGCTGTCCATAATAGCATCTTCTGCATTCGGTCAAGCATTTGAAACAAATGCAGAAGCAAAGCATGTAATTATGACTTCTACAGTTAGTGTCCTTGACGCTATTCTGTATCGATCACTGCAAGTGCCGATTAATCAAATACCGCTTTTGAATAAACTGCCATTATTTAAGAAGAAAGTGATTGATCAAGGCGCGAAACGAATAGCTGAAGTTGCTCAACGAATGGTAAATGATCGAAGAATGGGCAAAAGCCAGAGTTTGTGCAAAGGGGATGACCTGTTAGATTTGCTGCTAACTGCTCGAGATCAAGACGGAAATGGATTTAGTAAGCAAGAGGTTAAAGACGAAGCAATGGCATTTATTCTAGCTGGTTTCGAGACTACAGGAAATCTAATGGTATGGTCCATGTATATACTCATGACTCATCCAGATGTTTATCAAGATTGTTGTAACGAAGTTGACCGAGTTTTAGAAGGCCAACCGCCAAATAATGTACTAATTAATGAACTACACGTTATCGAAGCTGTCTTGCAGGAGACACTTCGACTTTATCCACCCGCACCTTATATTGTCCGTCAGTGCATTCATGAGCACTCAATAGGATCAGAAGAAAATCAAATTCATCTTCCAGTAGGAGTAACACTGCTCCTGAACGTTTATGCTCTTCACCGATCGGCACATTACTGGCATGATCCTTTAATATTCGACTACAAACGGTGGATGAAAAATGCTGAGGGTTTGAAGCCAAAACTAGCTCATCCGTTCTGTTATTTGCCATTTTCAGCAGGAAATCGAAGCTGTATCGGACAAAATTTTGCGATGTTAGAAGCAAAAGTTATGTTGGCCATATTAGTCCAACGTCTACATTTTGAAATTATTCCAGGACAGAAAATAGTGCCGATATCGCGTATTATGATGAAAACAAAATATGGTCTTTTAGCGAAAATCACTAGACGTGCTTAAAATAAGTGTAACGTTGAGACGCATTTCTATAATGAACTTTCTGCAGAAAAGGAATAGAGTTAGTGTAGATGTTTGCTCTATAAATGTAATTCCTTGAAAATAAATTTTATAAATAATCTATCTAAACTGAAAACTGGGTTTGTGTTTATATAATGATCACTAACTACATTACTTGTTTTTTCCTTTTGCAACTGCGCTGTAAAAAATAAAGTAGGTCAGTGACCTACTGAGTGACGCATCTAAATGGATCCGCTTTACCCACTGAGAAAACTGTTGCATCAGTAGGTCAGTGACCTAGTGGCAGCGTGTCTCTGAGTTACAGAGATGACCTAGTGAGACGACTGACTCAGCCAAGCGGTAGTGTTTGGAACTTTGGCGCAGAAAGACGAAGGCTCAAACCTCTCTTTTACTTACTTTCTGCTTTTCTTCGTTTGCTTATTTTGAGCTGAAAATAACCGTATGTAGGTTTTTTAACATGGTGATTTCGAATTTGAACTTAATTTTTGTTTTTATGCGTGCATAGCCGCTTTTTAAGCAAAAGATATGGAAAAAATCATGGTTTATGCATCATTCGAAAAGTTTTTAGCATTAAAATCTCACCAGAATCCTTTTACTAAGAGTAAGTGGTTTTTAAAGTGAAGATGAATGATCTTTGGTTTGATTGTGAAGTGAGAAGAATGTTTTGAAAGCAGTAACTTAAAGTGCGGTGACGCGTAACCGCTGACTATCTGTTTGATTTGTGCTCCGTTTTTCCAGACAAAGTTTGCTAGTAAAACATAAAGTATTTCGCATGAATCGAATGGCAATTTTGCTCTCTATATTTCTACACTCTTTTCAAAATTTTTGCTTTTATGGTTTGACAGAAATAGGCTAGAACTGAGAGGTGGTGGTCTTTCCGTCACGTTTTTGAGAAAAATGGATTTTTCAGAACCAGGTTAGTGTGCAAAAAGTTTATTTTCACACAGTCAATTCAATGCTAAACATATTGCTGTGTTTTTTACTATAATACTAGAATGCCCGGATATTTTCATGGCCTAGAACACCCAAAGCGGTCATTTTGACCATTGCTGTTTTCATTTTTAATTTTATAATTAAAAACGGTTTTGAACTCAAAAATGAATTAAAAATTCTGCAAAAACTGATTTTTGTGGGATAAATTAAAAGTTATGACATAATTTATTTTTAAGTAAATTGTATGCAGTTTGTTGGTTTCATTAGGGCTAAAAATCAAAAAACGGTCAAAATGCTACGGGCGTTCTAGTGTTAAAAAGTGAAAACTGTACATTTTCATAAACTCGAAGATATAAGTTCAAAACGTTTGTCAGAAAAGTGATTATTTCTGTATTTCCACATTTTTTAATTCAAAAAATTTAATATAATTTAATTCTAAAGAATGAGCCCTGAGCCAAGTCTCCGCATTAAAGGAAAGTATCTCAGAAATAGGAAAACATTCTGACCTGTTTATTATGGTCCACCCGTTAGTATGCTAAATAATTTCTGTAGTTTGCGGGGAAATGTTTGGACAGTAGCGAAACTTTTCTCAGTACCAAGCTACAAAAGCAGAATATGTTTTAAAGTAGAAACCCTTTTCTATTCGATTTTTAAGTCGGTAAGCGGTTATTTATAATGCGCTGCTCCGCAATCTACACCTGTTTACTAGTCAGTGCACAATAAAATTTTCCTCATTTCCTTGATTTCGGAATAGTCAGCATTTTATTGTATTGATGAAAATATGCACAAAAGGAACACAAGCATTCCACCTTAAAACTAAACTTGTGTTTTTGACACTCATGTTTTCTTAATGCTCGTATCGATTGATACTTATTAATGCAACCGAGAAAATTCACCACTACTCCTTTTTATCCGGATGCTTATGTTTACAATGAAAGATTAATTCGTCCTTAGTCCTCCAATTCTCGGAGCAAAATGAACCACTGCATTTTTTCCGAAGTATTGAAAAGAAGCAAAGAAATAAACAAAACGCTAAAACGATGAGAATACCTAGCAATATTTACTGCAGACTGACTGTTAATCAACCGTGAATACACTATTCCATTCAAAAGAAGATGTAAAGGATAGAGAGATAGAGCGCATATATTCATATGGAAGTCTTACTTTTCAAAATTGTTTTTGTTTTTTCTCACAGAATAAAATATGGAAGGCAACCGTTTTCTCCAGAAAATTAACAAATGTAGGTCACTAATGCGCCTTCCACTTTTTTTGCAATGTCATCCATAAGGAAATTAATACGCGCCAAGTTTATTACGGTTTGTCCTACGTTTCAGTTCTTTCTATTTTACTACAATTTGAAAAAGAAAAGACCGTACTTCCCTTTTTTGTGACCCACTGAGAAAAGAGTATCCACTAAAAATAGCTCAGTAGAATTTGACCCACCAGGAGACCTAGTGAGTCGTGACCCATCTAAATGGATCCGTTTTACCTACTGAGACGATTTTACTCACTGGTGACCCACTTTATTTTTTACAGCGTGCAAACGATAGTCTTTGTAACAGTTCTGCTAAATCAATTCCCACACGCCATACCCATCAATTACTGTAGGGATACGTACTCGAGCTATCCTTTTGTTTTCGATCTGCTTTTGGTGTTTGATTCTTGCGGAAGAACCGAATGGCAAAAATTGGATTATTCATCTTTATAAACCGGTCCGTAAACCTTCCAAAAGGGTTGAAAAGAGCTATTATACAAGCTATTCGACAAAAATCCTTAGAAGGCTCTGTATGTAGTTGCTACTGTACACTTTTCAAATAATTAATCTGGACTTTTTCAAATAACAACAAAGATTAATTGAATGCTCTCTGCTTCTTTTTTTTCTAATAAAAACAAAATAATAATTATATTTGTATTGACAAAACCACACGGCTTCAACGCTAATGGAATAACAATGAAATTTTTTTGTAGGTCAGTTTATATTGGAGTATTGTTATTCCAACACAAAAATGCTTGAGCTTGAACATTTGCAGCAGGAACAAAAAGGAGTAAAGCCAGGACCATCAAATCGAGAATTAGCTACTAGGAATGTTGGCACACAAACTACGATAAAGATTCATATTAGCATACGACCATCAAGGAGTAAAAGACGAAAGTCAAGTAACAGAATCGATGTACAACGACATTCGTTTATATCGAGTGGCGCACATAGATCATCAGTCACAAGCAAAAACAGTGCGCTACGACAACAGCAGTCACTCAACAATACGAGTCCTAAACGACAAACATTTGCAAATATTGGTACTCAGACAGAATCTACAGTAAGCAAGAAACAAGTGTTCGCTAAAATAGTGTGCGATTGTTAAGAAAGACATTGTAAAAAGAGTCTGTTAGTTTGTGTGTAACTCTAATAACTGTTCACTCTGCATCAAAATGTGTATACCTTTTCTAGACGGTCATTTCCTAGTGTGTATTTTTTTCATACCTGTGCCATGCATTCTAGACGATCACCGAGAATTGACTTAGCTTTTCATTTTCAATATCTCATTTATATACTTTTTTTACAGTATACACGGAGACATTCGCCAAACAAAGATGGTACATTAAAGCAACCGCTGACCAAGACGAAAGCTCGACGACTGTCAAAAGTCAGTTCAAAACATCCATTACCATCACGATCAATTAGTTCGTCAACTAATACTGTCTCACCGTACAGTAGTCGGTTATCGTCAAAATCTGTAGGTTGTTTCAGCGATATATATGAAATGGACTGTCAATAAATCTTGCGTATGTATATATCTTTAGGCTTTTCCAGATACAAGAAAATTATTTTTATATGAGAAACGTGACAAGTATAGAGAAAAACGAAGAAGACATCGATAGTAACAGTTCAAATCTGTTCTTAGAAGATATGTAAATTTCAATCATGGTCGTTTGTTGTTCTAGTGGATTATTACGAGCAGTATGTATGGTGTGTGCGGCTCCTTGTTGTATTCTACTTGCTGGTTTATTGGCCGCACTTTTACTATTTTTATTGTTACGTAAGAATTTCAAAACAGTATTGCTGTTCGAAAGTCATTTCTTCTTCGCTATTTTTCTTCTATAGCTAAACCAATAACAACAGCAACAACAAGTAAGAGCTGGAATAGAAATATGATGAAAATTTGTTTATAAAGTCACACGAGTAGCGTTGATCACAAAAGTGGAGCTTGTGTAAAAGTAGAATTTTACTTTATCAGTTAATGGCTCTGCAATCGTCATCGCTTTCTACTAACCGCTTTCTATTAACCTAGAGCATCAAAAATAATCTAAAGGTCTCGCTTACACTTTTCTGAAAAAAAGTGTGGAAAGTGGTTTTCTAGACACATCAAGTTTTTGGTGAGAGTGAAACCAAAGTCGGTGAAAATGAAAAGCTAAGTCAATTCTCGGTGATCGTCTAGAATGCATGGCACAGGTATGAAAAAAATACACACTAGGAAATGACCGTCTAGAAAAGGTATACACATTTTGATGCAGAGTGAACAGNAAGTTTTTGGGGAGAGTGAAACCAAAGTCGGTGAAAATGAACGAAACATTGCATAATTATACATCAAATTGTAGCTCTTAACAAGACGATTCTAATGGTGAAGGAATCCGGTCTTGATTTAACTTTGCATTCGAGTGCTACACTGTAATCTTGAATTAATTTCTAGTTTATGAAAAATCAACTGGAAAATCGCTGAAGAATTTCTAGTTTATAGAAATTCCTCACCCATTCTCCCACTTTATAGAAATCGTTGAATTTCTACTTACTAGAAAATCGTCTTGAATTTCCATAAATACGAATTTCTATAAACGGGAAAATCGATAAGCAATTTCTATAACTGGAAATTCCTCCTCG